CCTCATGGCCCCCCCAAACCCCCTCCTTGGAGACCCCTCTGGGCAACCCCCTCCCCCAGGGGTGGGTGCCCCTCTCTCAAGGGGTCCCCCAAACCTCCTTCCAGCCCCCCTGGGGGGTCCCAGGGTGCCCCCCCCGACGTTTGGGGTGCCCCCCCAGCTCCTCTCTATCTACCCCAGACCCTCATTAACCCTCCAAGCCCCCTCCTCAGAGACCTCTTAGAGCACCCCCCACTCACAGGGGTGGGTGATCCCCACTCAGGGGGGTCCTGGGGGATATCGGGGTGCCCCCTCCCATGTTTGGGGTGCCCCCCCCAATCCCCTCTATCCATCCCAGACCTCCTGTAGCCCCCCCCAAAACCCCTCCTTAGAGACCCCTCAGTGCATCCCCCTCCCCCCATGGTGGGTGCCCCTTGCTCAGGGGGGTCCTGGGGGTCCCGTGGTTCCCCCCCCCTGACATTTTGGGTTCCCCTTCCCCCCATATGGCAGATCAAGAGCGGGGAGAACGCCGCGAGCATCGCGGGGGAGCTGGCGCGGCACACGCGGGGCCCGGTGTTCGCCGGCGACGTCAGCTCGGCCGTGCGGCTGCTCGAGCAGCTCCTCGACATCCTGGACGCGCAGCTGCAGGCCCTGAGACCCCTGGAGAGGGAGTCAGCCGGCAAGAACTACAACAAGGTGAGACCCCAGACCCGGATTTGGGGGTTCAGCCCCCTGGGAGTGAGGGGGGAACACCCAGGACCGAGGGGAACTCGTCTGTGGGATGTCCTGGGGACATCCTGGGCAGACCCTGCAGACCCTGAAGCCCCTGGAGAGGGAATCAGCCGGCAAGAACTACAACAAGGTGAGACCCCAGACTCGGATTTGGGGGTTAAACCCTCTGGGAGTGAAGGGGGGGACACCTGGGACATCCTGGGCAGACCCTGCAGACCCTGGAGAGGGAGTCAGCCGGCAAGAACTACAACAAGGTGAGACCCCAGACCCAGATTTGGGGGTTCAGCCCCCTGGGAGTGACGGGGGGGACATCCCAGAGTGAGGGGGGGACACCTGGGACATCCTGGGCAGACCCTGCAGACCTGAGACCCCTGGAGAGGGAGTCAGGTGGGATAAACCCCAACAAGGTGAGACCCCACTTGGGGGTTCAACCCCTGAAACTGAGGGGAGACACCTGAGAATGAGGGGGGAACACTTAGGATGGAGGGGGACTCATCTGTGGGACATCCTGGGCAGACCCTGCAGACCTGAGACTCCTGGAGAGGGAGTCAAATAGGATAAACTGCAACAAGGTGAGACCCCAGACTCAGATTTGGGGGTTCAACCCCCTGGGAGTGAGGGGAGGACACCCAGGACCGAGGGGAACTCGTCTGTGGGACGTCCTGGGGACACCCTGGGCAGACCCTGCAGACCCTGAGACCCCTCGAGAGGGGGTCAGCTGGCAAGAACTACAACAAGGTGAGACCCCAGACCCAGATTTGGGGGTTAAACCCCCTGGGAGTGACGGGGGGACACCTGGGACATCCTGGGCAGACCCCGCAGACCTGAGACCCCTGGAGAGGGAGTCAGGTGGGAAGAACTACAACAAGGTGAGACCCCAGACCCAGATTTGGGGGTTCAACCCTCTGGGAGTGAAGGGGGGAACATGCCAGAGTGAGGGGGGGACACCTGGGACATCCTGGGCAGACCCTGCAGACCCTGAGGCCCCCGGAGAGGGAGTCAGGTGGGGAGAACTACAACAAGATGAGACCCCAGAACTACAACAAGGTGAGACCCCAGAACTACAACAAGATGAGACCCCAGAACTACAACAAGGTGAGACCCCAGAACTACAAGGTGAGACCCCAGACTCAGATTTGGGGGTTCAGCCCCCTGGGAGTGAAGGGGGGAACACCCAGGACCGAGGGGAACTCGTCTGTGGGATGTCCTGGGGACACCCTGGGCAGACCCTGCAGGCCCTGAAGCCCCTGGAGAGGGAGTCAGGTGGGAAGAACTGCAACAAGGTGAGACCCCAGACCCAGATTAGGGGGTTCAGCCCTCTGGGGAGGGAGGGGGGGACACCCAGGAGGGAGGGGAAGGGGCTCTGAGCACCGAGGAGAGGAGGAGCTGCAGCAGGAACTGTTACAAGGTGGGACCCCAAAAACCTGGATTTGGGGGTTCACCCCACATGGGGGGGGGCAGGGGAGGATGGGGAGAACGGGGGGGACACACGTGTGACTGAGGGGGACTGTGGGATGTGGTGGACCCAGATTTTGGGGGGTTTCTGCCCCAGATTTTGGGGGTTGTTCTATCCCATATTTTAGGGGGTTCTGTCCCAGATTTTGGGGGCTGTTCTGCCCCAGATTTTGGGGGGTTTCTGCTCCAGATTTTGGGGGTTGTTGTGCCCCAGATTTTGGGGGGTTTCTGCCCCAGATTTTGGGGATTTCTGCCCCACATTTTGGGGGTTGTTGTGCCCCAGGTTTGGGGGTTTCTGCCCCAGATTTTAGGGGTTTCTGCCCCAGGATTGGGGGTTTTCTTCCCCAGATTTTTGAAGGGTTTCTGCCCCAGATTTTGGTGGTTTCTGCCCCAGATTTTGGTGGTTTCTGCCCCAAATTTTGGGGGGTCCCTCCCCAATCCCGTCGTTTCCCTCCCCAGATGCACAAGCGGGAACGAACCTGCAAGGACTACATTAAGGTGAGGGGGCGTGGCCGGGAAGGGGGTGTGGCCTGTGAGATGGGCGTGGCCAAGCATGGTGGGAGGGGCTTGGTGGGGCTATCAGGGTGGGGCCAAGGAGTAGGTGGGGCCTGTATTGGGTGGGTCTGCACTGGTGGGCGTGGCCTTTATTGGGCTGGCTGGGTCTGTGAATGGGTGGGGCTTATGGGTGGGGTCTTTCCTGGGTGGGCGTGTCCAGTTGATTGTATCCTAACCCAATGGGCTGGTCCCAATGGGTGTGTCCCGGTGGGCGTGTCCCATCCCGTGGGCGTGTCCCACGGTGGTGGGCGTGTCCCCAGGCTGTGGTGGAGGCGGTGGGTGTGGATGTGTCCTGATGGGTGTGTCCCTGTGGGCATGTCCCACGGCTTTGGGCGTGTCCCCAGGCAGTGGTGGAGGCAGTGGGGGTGGGGGGATCCCTGTGGGTGTGTTCCAACCTGGTGGGCATGTCCCACGGTGGTGGGTGTGTCCCTGTGGGCGTGTCCACCCGTGGGCGTGTCCCCAGGCGGTGGTGGAGGCAGTGGGTGTGGGCGTGTCCCACTGGGTGTGTCCCAACCCGTGAGTGTGTCCCTGTGGGTATGTCCCACCCGGTGGGCGTGTTCCCAGGCAGTGGTGGAGGCAGTGGGTGTGGGCGTGTCCTGGTGGGCGTGTCCCATGACAGTGGGCGTGTCTGATCCAGTGGGCGTGTCTCCAGGAGGTGGTGGAGGCAGTGGTGGTGTCCCATCCTGGTGGGCGTGTCCCACTGGGCGTGTCTGATCCCGGTGGGCGTGTCCCCAGGCAGTGGTGGAGGCGGTGGGTGTGGGCGTGTCCCTGTGGGCGTGTCTGATCCCGGTGGGTGTGTCCACATCGGTGGGCGTTTCCCACATCAGTGGGCGTGTCTGATGCCGGTGGGCGTGTCCCCAGGCGGTGGTGGAGGCGGTGGGTGTGGGTGTGTCCCTGTGGGCGTGTCCCATGGCAGTGGGCGTGTCTGATGCCGGTGGGCGTGTCCCACATCGGTGGGCGTTTCCCACATCAGTGGGTGTGTCTGATGCCGGTGGGTGTGTCTCTGTGGGCGTGTCCCATCCCGGTGGGCGTGTCCCCAGGCGGTGGTGGAGGCGGTGGGTGTGGGTGTGTCCCTGTGGGCGTGTCCCATGGCAGTGGGTGTGTCTGATCCCGCTGGGCGTGTCCATGTGGGCGTGTCCCATCCCGGTGGGCGTGTCCCATCCCGGTGGGCGTGTCCGCAGGCGGTGGTGGAGGCGGTGGGTGTGGGCGTGTCCCTGTGGGCGTGTCCCATCCCGG